TTAAAAATTTAAATTAGGAGATAACATCAGAATTATGACAAAAGTCAATTATGATATAAAATTCATAATTATAAAGAGATTTTAAAATGTTGACATACAATAGCAAAAAGTCTATTATGAGATAAAAAGTCATCATTTTGATATAAAATTCAAAATTTTGACAAACAAGGTCATAATTATGCGATAAAAAGTCAAAATTATGAGACAACATCAGAATTATGACAAAAGTCAATTATGACATAAAATTCATAAATATAAAAAGTTATTTAAAAAGTCATAATTATGACAATGTTGGCATACAAGGTCATAATTATGAGATAAAAGTCAAAATTATGAGATAACATCAGAATTATGACAAAAAGCCTATTGTGAGATAAAAGTCATAATTATAAAGATATTTAAAAAGTCATAATTATGACAATGTTGACATACACTGAAAAAAATGCTACTAATTATTTTTAAAGTAAGTGGTCGCAAACAATTTATTTTAGCTACATTTAATTAAAAAAAATATGTTGAAAGTTAGTCAAATAAATTTGTTTATTTAAATGTAGCTTAAATAAATTGATTGCAACCACTTACCTTCAAAAAATGTAGTAAATTCAATTAATCATTTTTTTCAGTGTACAAGGTCATATGTATGCAATAAAAAGTCAAAATTATGAGATAACATCAGAATTATGACAAAAAGTCTATTGTTAGATAAAAGTCATAATTATAAAGATATTTAAAAAGTCATAATTACGACATAATGTTGGCATACAAGGTGATAATTATGAGGAAAAAAAAAACATAATTATGAGACAAAAATCAGAGAGTGATAATGTTATAATTATAAGTCAATTATGAGATACAAAGTCAAAATTATGACATACAAAGTCATAATTATGATATAAAATATCTAAATTATGAGATAAGATCATAATTATGACAAAATCATGAAAGAAAAAGCTAGTATGAGATAATAACATCACAATTAAGACATACAAAGTCATAATTATGACATACTGTAATGTGGTGTTTTGTTTCATGTTCATGTTTTCCATGTCTTTTATTTTGTAATTGTTTCATGGTCCCTGTTTGTGTCATGCTTCCCTTGCCCTCATGTATTCATGCCATTGGTTCCCCTGTTCATTGTGTCATGTTCTGATTGGTTGTCTTAGTCATGTGTCTTGTTTCCCATTGGTTTGTTCTTGTCATGTGACCCTCTTGTTTCCTATAAGTAGCTTCATGTTCCCATTGTGCCCTTGTCGTGTATTGAAGTTGTAACCTGCTGTTGGTGAGTCTAGTCTGTTTGTGCCTCGTCAAATCAAGTTTGTTCATGTCATGTCAAGTCAAGTTTGGATTATTGTTTGGATGTTTGGATCACCTTGTAAATAAACTGCACTTGGGTTCTCACTTCAGCTCGCCTTCAGTGGATGATTCGTTACACATACTAAACCATAATTACGAAATGAAGAAGTTGAAATTATGACATAAAAAGGAAAATTCTGCTCAATTATGAGATTAAAAAAAGTTTAATTTATGGCATACGAAGTCACAAATGTGAGACAAAAAGTTGAAATTATGAGATAAAAATAATTGAGGAAAAAGTCATATGTAATAAAAAAGTCTAAATTATGACATATTAAATTACAATTATGAGACAAAGTTGAAATTATGAGATTAAACATCATAATTATAACATAAAAGGTCGTACTTATGATATAGAAAGTCTAAATTATGACATAGTAAGTCATAATTAAAAGTATGGCATACTAAGTCATAATTATGAGAAAAAAATCTAGTTTATTACAAAAGGTCATAATTATGACAAACATAGAAAATTATGACATTATGTCAAAATCACGAGGTGAAACGTGTAAAAATTATGACATTAAAAATCAAATGTGATAAAAATGGAAATTATGACACACTCCAATTGTTAGATAAAAAAGGGAAAATTATGACTAAAAAAATTCCTACTTTTTTTAAATGTCATTTTATATCATATTTAAACTTTTTTGTTATGATTATGATTCACCAAAGCATGTTTTTCTTGGAAATGGGCTTCCATCATTAGAGTCTGCATCATGCTCTAGAAGTATGTTTAGTTTCTGATGTTTTATTCAGTGTTTATCAATCACAAAATAAATATGACGTGAAACTCTTCTCAGGCCTGCAGGGTATGGCGGTGGTTGACGAGTTTGGAGGGGTGGAAGAGAGCAGAGTTCATCATGCAGCATCTCAGAGCATCGTTCTGAGAGGAAAACACACTGATGTGATCTTCCGGATGGACTGTGCTCCACCGAAGGTCAGGAGTTCTGTTCAGTCCATCAAATCAATGTGTGATAAACACTGTCATCAAATATATAAAACAGCACGTGTTTCTCATGTCTTCTCACCTGTGTCTCTCTGCAGAATTCTGTGGAGCTGTATTGTAATGGTGAATGCAAAAATAATTCAGTGTATGAAAGTCAAATCGGTGCTGTTTCATTTGAACAGATTTCTGTATTTAAATACGTCATTTCGGGGTTGGTAAGATTTTATTTTTTTTTTTTTAAATAAGTCACTTCTGCTCACCAAGGCTGCATTTATTTTATCAAAAATACAGTAAAAACTGTGAAATATTATTACAATTTAAAACAGCTGTTGGCTATGTGAATATGTGTTAAACTGTAATGTATATCTGTGATGCGCAGCTGTATTTTCAGCATCATTACTCCAGTCTTCAGTGTCACATGATCTTCAGAAATCATTCT